TATATATATATATATATATATAATTTTTGTTAGATTAAATACAAACATAATATGTACTTGTTTGCTTTTTATTTTTCAGATATGGAGCAAACGGAACAACAACAACAACCACCATCACCTATAAATAAACCTGAAGGATTTACATTTTTATTTACAATTTTAGAATTGACAGGAGCTGTGCTTATTATTTTAATGATAGTATGGATTACCGAATTTAGAGGTGGTTTCTCTTGGACATCTAATCCAAGTCTTGAATTCAATTGGCATCCTTTGTTAATGACTATTGGATTTGTTGTTCTTTATGCTAATGGTAACACAATTTTATTATTATTATTTTTTTTTTAATAGCATATATATATATTAGGTCGAGTTATAAGTAACTTTCGATGTAGCTATGTAGTATCTATTTTTCGTATCTAAATCTAATTTTGTTATTTTTCATTGTAGCTATGCTTATATACAGAACACAAAGGAACGTTCGAAAAAGGCGATTGAAATTAATGCACACTGGATTGATGGTACTTACAATTTTACTGACAGTAATTGCATTAGTTGCAGTCTTTGATAGTCATAATTTAAAAGATCCACCCGTACCAAACATGTATACTTTACATAGTTGGATAGGATTAACAAGTGTAATATTGTTTTGTTGCCAAGTAAGTCAATACTTTGTGTAAAATGATATACACATTTTTATAATTCATATAAATATATATATATATATATATATATATATATTTATTTTTTTGTTAACAGCTGCTCGCAGGTTTTATTACTTTTCTTTATCCTGGTTTACATGAATCATTACGGTCATCTTATATGCCAATACACGTTTACTTTGGTATAGCAACTTTTGTTGGAAGTATTGCTGCCTGTTTAATAGGACTTAATGAAAAAGCATTCTTTTCTGTAAAGTTAGTTCACAATAATAATAATAATAATAATAATTAACCCTTTCGCTACTAATTATCTACCAATCACTATAGTGGCCCTTCATAAGATGCAACTGAGATACTACGGGCCAATATAATGGCCCTCCATAAAATACCACGTATTTTACATTTGACGAACATATGCAGTTATAGCATTAAGTCAAATATCCCCACAGTGGACATGTAATTTTAGTGTTTCGTTTATTTTGATTAAAAATCGTTAACATCAACGACAAAATTACTTGAAAATAAATTGCAATTTCGATGTTGCACGTATTAGCATCCCCTGTACAGTAGAAGTAGCACCGCGAAAAATACGCCCGTAGCGAAAAGGTTAAATATGTGTAATATTATATATTACAAAATTAATATTGTTTTTATATTTCAGGAATTATCAAGATTTTCCTTCCGAAGGAATTTTGATAAACAGTATCGGACTATTTTTGGTTATTTTTGGAGCATTAGCAGTATATTTAGTATCGCAGGGACAATATAAACGTTTACCTAGACCTGAAGATAATCTGTTGTTGACAAATAGAAACTAAACCCAAATGATGAGATATTATTGTATCTTCAAAATGATATCTTTATCTATGTGCTTTTTGTGCTTTGAAAGCTCTTGATAAGTTTTTACTTATTGGTCTCAAATTTTTAATATTTGTTATTTCCTTTTTCTAAGTATTATCAATTCTATATTTAATATTTGTTCAATTGTTATACATTAATTAATATATAATATAAAATATATATATATATATATATATATATAATATATAATATATATATATATATTTTTATTGTTATTATTATTATTATTATCTATGGTGCTATTTTAAATATTAAATGGTGCTCTTTTGATATTAATTTCATTTACAAGTAATTAACACTTAATATAATATACAAATATTATTTACTTAAATTTTCATCATATGAAAATAGGATTTGCATTGTATAAGAAATTAGTGTAATTTAACGTGTTATTTTTTCATCATTTTTGTTTGGCAGCATTTTCTCGTTACTGTTTAACCCCTTGCACTATGCTGAAATTTGGAAGAAGCTGTGCCTAAACCATGCACCCGAATGGCTGCGAAAAGAAACGAAGGGGCGGAGCCTAAATGTCGAAATTTTAGTTTTCAAATGTTATCTGGACTACAAGAATGTATTCTAAGTAGCACGTAAAACTGTATTGGGAAACAAGATATATAAAACACTCATACATATAAATAAGAAAAGAGAAGAGATAAGATTTTACTCAAACATTCATACTTTGCTCGAGATTAAAAACACGAGTACGACTCGTGATATTCATATTTGGTCGGAACCAATCGATTACGAGTCAGACTCGTGATATTTGCGTTTGACATGAAATTTAATAACGAGCCTGACTCGTGATATTCAAGTCTGATCTAAAATTTCTCATCACGAGTCAGACTCGTGGAAATAGTGCAAGGGATTAATTATTATTAATTATTGTGTCAAATCAATTCGAACTTCATCGAGTTTTATTCACATTCCTTATACATTAATTTATCATTTCGTTAAGTTTCAATCAGATTCTTGCCACGATGATTGCAACATTAAACGTAGACTCCATTAGATAATACAATCTTTGATATTTATTTTTTTTTTTCCAATTGAAGACTGTCTAAATGATTGCAGCATCACATGAAGAAAGACTTCATAATTATATAGAATATTTTTATAGTTACTTTTGTTTCTAATCAAATATTATTAGTTGTTAATTTAACAAATTTTAAGTACTGTGAATATTGCTCTTGAAATAATCGAATTTTTATATAAATTAATAAAAAACATTTCATGTATATATATATATATATATGCACATGCACATGAATACATATATATTCCAATGAAAATAAATAAAAATGTAATATATCGTCGTTACAGCAAGATAAATATATTTGATTTATTATTAGATTATCCCCAATACTGATACATTTAAATTTAACTCTTACTGGTCGTCAGGTTTAACTAATTAATTATAATTAATTATAATATAATTAATATAACATAATATAATTAATTATAAATTGGTTTTGGTAAAATATGCCTACTGAATTGTTCAGTATTATAAGAATAATTTATTATTTATTAAAAATAATGTATTATTTTTTTTTTTTTGAAGGAGTACTAAAATTTTATAAAATTATTAATAAATTATTAATAACATATTTTTATTTGTAAGTCACGTAGGAAGTGACTTACAAATAATAAGGGTTAAAAATATAGTTACTTTTGTTTCTATTAGATATTAATTTAACAAATTAAATAACTGTGAATATTGCTCTTAAAATCATTGAATTTTTATTATAAATTAATTAAATATATTATTAATAATATATTTATGCATAAATACATATCTATTCTAATATATGGTAATACAAATAAAAATTTTATGTCGTCGTTACAGCAAGATAAATATATTCGATTTTTTATTAGATATTCCCAAAATATATTTAAATTTAATATTTAAATATTTAATAATAATAATAATAATAATAATAATAATAATAATAATATATACATTTAATAATAATATTTAATATATAAATTTATATATTTAAATTTAAATTTAAAAATATGGTTACTTTTTTTTATTTTAATCAAAGATTATTAGTTATTAATTTAAAACATTTAATAATTGTGAATGTTGCTCTTGAAATAATCAAATTTTTATTATAAATTAATTAAATATATAATTAATAATATATATATACATATTTAATGTATTATATTACATAAATAAATTAAATATGTATCATATTACATTATATAATGTAATATATAATGTAATTATATATAAAGGGACACCACTAATGTGACTGCTTGAAATAAGGTGACTTCGGAATTTTTTTAAAGAAAACTACTGCATGGAATGTTTTAATTTTTAAAAGAGATATTCGTGGATATCTAATGAATATATGAACAAATTTTTGGACCAAAATATTGAAAATTATGCGAATAATTCGCAATCTCCAAAGGCCCCAAAAAGAAAGTCTCCTCACTACTGCAGTTATAGCGTTTCAAATTTCGCGCGAAAACTTGATGATTTTTGGCCTGCCAAAATTACATTTTTTATTCTGTCGAAAAACTAGAGATACATGGTATGAAGAAATATATATATATATATATATATATATATATATATATATATATATATATATATATATATATAAAAGAAGCTGCAACAAGAATCAAATTAATCAGATGATTTGTCTTTGAATTATAATTGCAGCAAATTTATAAAATGTAGTTACGAGAAAAATGCGTTTAGTTACTGATTTGATCGTTAGAAATCAAGAAATATTAAATGGCTGTAAAACTCAAAAACTATTTGAGATATGCAGTTAAAATTTTAATATATTATTTTTAAAGGTATAGATTACAGAAATATGCAAAAAAAAAAATCGATTTTTTCAAAATTTTGACTCCAGTGGTGAACTTTAAAATTGTGTAATATATAATATATTATATTATAATTATATTATATTATATTATATTATATTATATTATATTATATTATAATATATATTAATTTATTTTAATTANTTAATTTATTTTAATTAATATTAAATTAAAAATAAATAAAAATAAATTATAATTAATTAAATTATATAATAAATTATATATTATTTATTATATAATAATTATTTAATACATATTATTATATAAGCATAAATACATATATATTTCAGTATATGACAATAAAAATAAAAATGTTATGTCGTCTATACAGCAAGATAAATATAATTTGATTTATTATTAGATATTTCGCGAAAAGTAATATATTTAAATTTAAAAATTGACGCGCGCATATTAAACGTAATACCACGTGTCACATATAGATACAAAAAAGAAGCAAAGAGATTCGTCAAACAACGAATTCGTTTCTAATCGTATATTTCCGTATACGATCGTTCAGCGCGGTAACGATGTAACCAATAGAAAGCGTCGTTGTATAGTGGCGCCGACTAACGGATCGCGTACTTTTTCAAAGTTTTTCCGATGAGTTCTCGCGCCGTGAGTTATATACGCGGCAATCTTCGAGACGGCGTTGTGTGATGTGCATTATTCACTGTGTGTTGGTGCCGCGTTTCTTCTAATTGTGCATTGCATCGCGTCGGCGCGTTTTTGTGAACTTCTTATTAGTGTTTTCTTTTTATTTCTATTTAATAATTACTTGTTATATATACAAACAAACATATATACATTATATTACCAACAGTTATCATTACCTTCAATTTATTTCTAATCCATTAAAGACTTCATCAAAAGTGATTTATTAACATTCGATAGAAAACATTCAATTCAAAAGGAGAAAAAAAAAAGGAAAATGAAAAATTTACATTATGTCGACATTTGACAACACTTTTTTGTGGTGAGTTTTTGAATCCTTTCATTTTTTGTTATTATTTTATCATTTTGTTGTATCTGCATATGTTCTTTTTTTTTGATAAATGTATATATACATTTACGCGCACTGACGTATGCACGCACACATACATACACATATGTATGTATGTATGCATGTACGTACATGCATACATATTGCAACGAGCCACGTTGCACTGAGAGACGATAAGAAAATTTGCATTTACTCATCTCTTTATGATCTTCAATCGTTGCATGTGATAGGAACGTGCCTCTTCTTGACACATCCCCCCATACCCCCTCCTCCCTCGACTATTGGCTCACCCTCCCCCCTCCACCTCCCCCTACCCCCGCCTCCTTTTACTATACTCTATCGTTTCGTCCATAATTGTTCTTATTTACTTTGTTTTTTTTTTTTTAAACTTATTTCTCAGATATCAGATCACTCGTTAACAATTATTGATTTGATCTAACACGTTTTGTATCACACTTTAATCAAGAATATTGATTCACGTAGTATTTGTGTATCGTATTTTTATTTTGTTGTTTATTAATGAATTTTTTTCTTTTTTTTTCTTTTTCTTTTTTGTATCATCTCGTAATCGTATATTTTATATTATTGATACTTTAATAAAAAAAAAAAGATAAGATTGAAGATACAGGTGAACGAGATTAAAATTAGAATTATCTTTTTGTAATCATTTTTTTGTAAATAATTTAATCGATTTTCTACGAACATTTGGATTCGTTCGTCGGTATCTTTCATCAATGATCGGACGAATTAAAAGACGAGTTTAAATAGCTTTGAGGTGATTGGACGAATGGGTGAGCGAATCAAAAAATGATAAAAATGAGAAGTCAAAAATGGTGTTAAAATGAAATATTGTAAAAAGTTTTTCTTCAGGTTTTTATTAAATGTTAATTATTATTCCAAAAGTTTTGATAAAAAGAAAAAACAATTGGAATGTTAATATGTATTTTTTTTTTGCTTTTTTTTTTTTTTAACATAAGTATACAGTATTTACATTACAAATGTGTAAGTAAACAAAATTTCTCGTTAAAAATGTCTTCTGATTTTTATTAAAACATTATTATCGATGTAAATAAATTATTTATGAGAATTCGTTATTTACCTATTTTTTTTCTTTTTCTTTTTATTTTTTTTTCTATTTTCTAATTCTCTTTTAAATGAACGCGCAATATTTGATTGGTAAAACGATTATCCTTGAAAAAAAA